ATATATATATATATACGTATATAAATAATAATAATAAAGTTTAGCGTTTAAAAATCACGCTTCATCCCCAAAGGCTCGAAGCGCGGTAAAAAGTCAACCATATTTGTAAAAAAATGAAGTAATCTTTATTTTACCACATTAAAACGCAACACTACAAAAATTACAAACGAGCCAAACCCATTCAAAGTCTTTTGTCCATTTCAACTATAAACAACACAAGCCAATATATATCTAGGCGATAATAGCTAGCTGGAAAAGATGATAAAGATCACCCCAGCAGATGTCTGCGAAATAGATGTGTTTTCAAATCGGTTTTGAAGGATTCAAGTGTCTGGCTGTTTCTGAGAGCGACAGGAAGTGTGTTCCAAATTGTTGGGCCAGCAAATGCGAGAGTGCGCCTTCCGTAAGTCTCAAGGCGAGCATGCGGTATCGAGAGTTTGCCACTATCAGATGAGCGGAGTTGTCTACTGGGTACATAAGGCACCATGAGCGCTTTGAGATAGGACGGCGCCAGGTCATGTAAGGAGCTGTAGCACAGAGTTGCAATTTTGTACTCTATGCGAGCACGGACCGGCAGCCAATGCAGCTCTCTCAGAAGTGTTTTAGCATGGTCGAATTTGCGTTTGCGAAAAACAATGGGAGTCGCATTATTCTGTACTTTTTGTATTTTATCCAGGAGCGAAGCTGGAAGACCCACCATGAGAGCATCTCAGTAGTCCATGCGTGATAACACAAATGCAGACATCAGCCTCTTTGATGCATCTAACGTTAAAAAAGGTCTGATATGACTAATTCTGCGCAACTATAGAAAAATTGCCTTGCAAAGCATGTTATATAAATATAGATATATACTGGTCAGGGAGAAATTGGGCACTGAGACAAGACGATGACACTGGGCAATGAGACAAGACGATGACACTGGGCAATGAGACAAGATTGTGTCTCTGGGAAATGAGACAAGACGGTGTCTCTAGGCAATGAGACAAGACGGTGACTTTGGGCAATGAGACAAGACAATGACACTGGGAAATAAGACAAGACGGTGACACTGGGCAATAAGACAAGACGTGACACAGGACAATAATACAATACGATGACACTGGGAAATAAGACAAGACGGCGACACAGGGCAATAGGACGAGACGGTGACACGGGGCAATAGGACGAGACGGTGACATTGGGCAATAAGACAAGACGGTGACACTGGGCAATGAGACAAGACGGTGACACTGGGCAATGGCACAGACAGTGACACAGGGCAATAGGACGAGACGGTGACATTGGGCAATGGCACAAGACGGTAACATTGGGCAATGAATGACACGAGACGGTGACACTGGGAAACAACAAAAGATGGTAACATTACATATTATGAATTATCCCAAATCAAATTGCTCATGTTTCTATTGTTTTATGTTGGGTCCCTTTTAATATTAACAAAACGTGGTTCAATATTTTTCGTATAGATTAAACCAAAACACCCAAAAAGTAACATTGTTTGACAACATTCATATGCAATCATTGTTACTCATTCCAAAGAATATATTTATTTTAAATCGTTGATCTAAAAAAGGATGACTAGCAGATGATCCGCTCCATGTTAAGGCCACATGGCAGTTTGCTTAGTTTCATAATTGGTTTCCGTAGAGACCGAACGAATGTGATATAGCGTTATTGTAGAACACCAATATTACATTTTGAAATAGTTGTTTGTTGATATTTAGCGGTCTGCTTGTGCGATATCTGTAATGGACCGTGACCAAGAGATTCAATTCATGGATTGAATGAAATTCCAATATCGTTTGTTGAACGAAACTTTGTGTGAAAAATCTAAAGCTCTATTGAAGTGTATGGGGTTAAGAAGTTTTTAAAGGGTCAATGTGGTTGAGACTTTTTTTAAAATAGAAAGATGTAATGTACTTCAAAAAAATTCTGTTCCGACTTTAAAATAAATTGACATAAAATTATAAGATATGTAAGACACGAATATAGGCAGGCGTAAAATCATTTTTAATGACCAAATTTCTAATAAATTTGCATTGCCGATTTCTAACAATATATTGTTGAGTTTATAAATGTCCTGGAGTTGTCCGGGCTGATCTGCTAGTATAGCTATTTATTGGTTTTAGTTAGGGAATTACATGCAAATGTTTGAATTTTATCATTTGCGGGACGCCTCATAACTTAAATATTTTACACAGTCTTGGGGGTGGTGGGTGAGGGGTTAAAGAGCGAAATGAGTTTGCTTCTACTTTCCCTAAGTGTGTAAGTCACTCGTTGTAAATTGTCGATTCAGCGGCCAAAAAAAAAAAAAAAAAAAAAAAAAAAAAAAAAATGGGTGGTGGGTGAGGGGTTAAAGAGCGAAATGAGTTTGCTTCTACTTTCCCTAAGTGTGTAAGTCACTCGTTGTAAATTGTCGATTCAGCGGCCAAAAAAAAAAAAAAAAAAAAAGATAATGATATAACTTGTTTTCTAAATGAAGTTGAGCCGAGTTTATGAAAGTAAAATACGTTCTCTCTTTTTTCCCCACCACTTTAATACAGTTGATCCTAATATTTTGTATACAAATACTTTTTTTTTCTTGTTACATGTTGTCTAATTTAAATTTAAAAAAAAAAAACAATCAACATTTGCATGAGAAGAAATATAATCTGGTTCAGTTTGTCGTTTTAAAAGAACAAAAACCTAGTCTTGATTATAAAGAAAAAAATGGACATGAAAGCTGAAACAAAATATTTTAAAAATTCATCTTGTACTAATTGTTTATATAGCAATGCCAAAAATGTCCTTGACCTTATTACTCGTAGATGATGTGGAAAGGGTAGCAACCCTTGACCTTTTGCTGTTTTTTTTTAAATTTTTAGTTTGTGTCTCTGAGGACGACCTTAGCAAAATAATTATCTGGACAGCGCACTGCGGTAGATGGCCAAAGGCATGGGTCACTGGGCGGAAGAACTGTTCCATTTTCAGGCGGCAAAAACTCAAAATTCTTCAGCAGTGTTGTCACGACTAAAAACGCCCGTGATTTGGCGAACGTCTCCCCTGGGCACGAACGGTAGCCGCTGCCGAAAGGAATCATGTTTAACCTCACGGGGTGGTCAGGGTCATGCAGCTGACCGCTGGAGTCGAGGAACCGTTCGGGTCTGAAGACGTCCGGGTCTCCCCACTTGTCCGCCCTGTGATGGCTGTACCACCCGTTCATCACCAGCATGGTCCCCTTGGAGATGACACAGTCGTCGTAATGAATGTCCTCTCTGACCAGGTGTGGCACCAAGAAGGACACAATGCTGGAATACCTGAGCGTCTCCAGGATGACAGCCTCCGTGTAAGGCATCTGTTGCCGGTGATTGAACGAAGGTTGACCGTCGCCGATGACGCTGTGGATCTCCTGGTACATTTTCGTTTGAATTTCCGGTTTGCTGATGATCTGAAGGAAGAGACTGGACAGCGTGCTGGCGGTGGTCAAATACGCCGCCACGATAATGTCCTGGATGACCGCTTTGATCATCTCGTCGCTCAGCTCGAATTCACCCCCTTTGCCCCTGGCCTCCTCCTGCATGGCAATCATATCGTCAACAATCCCTCTTCTCTCACCGACCGCGTAGGTCTTCTTCATGGCGTAGAAACACGTTTCATGCAAATCATCACGCGCTGCGAGAAGCGCGTTGGCCATCCTCTTAAATCGCGTCCCCGGTACGAAGCGCACGAAGGGGAAAAACTGTAATATAGATTCGTTTTCAAATAACAACGAGTTATTCACCAGGTCGTTGAACACGTCTATCTTCCCCAGAGTCGTTCGTGCAATTTCTGTGTCGCCGCCCGTCAAAAGATACCCGACAATGTTTCGAATGTAAGTTTTGAGAGACGTGGAGAGCTCTGAGTGTTCTTTGTTTTTTAGATCTCGTGTAAGCTCCCCCAAGGTTCTGGTCATTAGCTCCTCAAATTTCCCGATCCCCTCGCCGTAAAACTTGAGAAGCAGATGGAATATCTTCCTGAGCTGTCTCTGCTGCTGGCTCAGGTCGGCCAGAACCATATCCTGACCGTTGTAGAAACAGAACGTCCTCATGAAGGTGGAGGGCCGGTCGTTGGTCAGCTCCCGGAAGGTCTTGTCCCTCACGAGGTGCCTGAACACCAGGGCGTCGTTGACGAAGACGATGTCTCGGAGAACGACGTTGACCCGCACCAGCTCCCCGTACCTCCTGGCCAGGTCCGGCAGGTACAGGTGGAGCTTGCTTGTGTAGGAGCCTTTCAGGAAAACCTTCACGCCTTCGACGAGAGACGGCCCGGGCAGTGAGCGTTGGTCTGAACGTCTTCGCGACCACGCTACCAGGACGATGTAGATGATGACCAGCGGAGCGAGGAATGTTAGGATGTAGATCGTCGCCCCCTCCATTGCCGGGGCTTAATGGGAGGGGGGGGGGGGAAGGAGAGAAAAGCTTATGTATTATCGAATTGCACTTGGTATGTTAGATTTAAAAAAATAATGATTTTATAGAAAATAATTTAATATGCACAGCATTGATAAATGAAACGTTAAAAAAAGATGTTTATTGTCTGATATAATATAACTCATTTCAATATGTTAACTAATATGCGTTCAGTAATGGAATTAAAGGAAGCTTAAAGTGTTACTATAAAATGATTGAAAGTCAAAAGCAAAACTCAATATTTGGGAGTTGGTGGATTTTGAAATTATTTTTAAGATTCTTTATTTTCATTTAAAAAAAAAGGGAATATTCATTGAAATGTAAATACAAGTAATGTGCATTAAACAGTTAATGTGCAAAAAAGTTTTATCAAATGCACATTCAATGGTTCTAAAAAAGATACCGACTGCCTGCTAATAAAAAAATAGTTCGTTATAAGGCTTTAACTTTGACGGATACAATTTAAAATTTAAAAAAAAACCATTTCATTTTTTTTATTATGCTGCATTTTTTTCTCGGTAGAGATCTGTAACACTAAAACTCGTAAACTCACTGAAAAGAATAATTATTTACACACAGGACTTAGAGCTAAAAAGACTTTATTTGCCCCCCCCCCTTTTTTTTTTGGGGGGGGGGGCATTAAGGGTCGTACTAATACATGAGTCAACTGAATTCTTACGAAACGCTTACTTGTATTTACAGTGATCTTCTTGGCACGTGCTGCTTAGGTTCATACAGACGCTAGATTCTTGAGAACTAAACAGCGATTGGAGGTCTTTGCTGAAAGCTCAGAGCTGCTAAAAAACACACATTTCCAAACGATTGGAATAATCACTTGGTTCATATGCTTTAAAACATCACACCAATGGCGGCTGGAGTGTAAAAAAACAACAACAACAAAAAACTAAGACCGACTACTCCTCTCACGGTAACAAGTTCAACTCGAGAACCGTCCCGTGACTTCACGAGGACATCATTCAGCCATGCCGCAGTGACGAAAAGCCGTGGATGCGAAAATGAAATGATGCTACTCTCTCCATGTTTGCAGATAACAAAAAACTATTTGCCCGATAAGATCATACAAGTTCAAAGTTTTGTATCGATGTGCAGCTATTCGGATTGAAGTTCAGTAGGTCGTCGCATACCACAGAGATAAACCCGAAGGAGGACAGCATTTCCGAAAATAGAATTTAAGGACTTTGGATCTTGAACTTAAAATCAAAATTAGCATTAGTTTAAAATATGAGATTGGTCAATCACTTTGCTCATTTAGGATGTTTAAATGTATTTTAAAATATATAAGTAACAAAAGCGAATCAAGGTTTTTAGAAATCAAATAATTATCCTCTGTTCCCGGGGTTCGTGGCGAAAAACCCGAACGGGTGCAAAGTCAGACTAAGTCTTTGCATGACGGCTTCTTCGAACGATCTTCTACCCCCACCTCCCGCATGTCACAAATTTTTCACATGATTTACAAACCGTCATAGTAGTCGGTCATATAATGGTAACTCCCATCCTCGATGCGTGACGTCATAATGGATGACCTTTAAAACATAAACACGATGTGAGAGCCGGCACCATTTTTTTAAAAAAAGTAACACTTCTACCATAATTGTATACAGTATATTAAATGAAAATTATTATTTTATGTTCTTCCTTTGAATTTGATGCGTGCGCCGTCTGACAAGCCTGTGTCGTAGGTTGCTGACCTCTGCCCCGACACGCCTCTGCCCCGACTCGCCTCTGCCTCACAGCCATACATTATCTCACGACTGTATCATAGTTCAAGAACGAAAATGCTAAAGCAGTATTTCCATTATCTCATGACAAAGATAATGATGATCAATCAGATAATTCTAGCTGAAGGTTTGACATGGACAACAAGACAAGGGGGCAATAGTTCTCTTTGTGCACGCATCGATCGCTGATCTAACTATTATATATAGGTGATGAAGAAACACACGGGCGAGGGGATTAGAAAAGTCTGGATGAACTAGCAAAGATAGCCCAGGACAGGGACAGATGGAAAAGTATTGTGGATGGCCTATACGCCATTGAGATGAACTAGCAAAGATAGCCAAGGACAGGGACAGATGGAAAAGTATTGTGGATGGCCTATACGCCATTGAGATGAACTAGCAAAGATAGCCCAGGACAGGGACAGATGGAAAAGTATTGTGGATGGCCTATACGCCATTGAGATGAACTAGCAAAGATAGCCAAGGACAGGGACAGATGGAAAAGTATTGTGGATGGCCTATACGCCATTGAGATGAACTAGCAAAGATAGCCAAGGACAGGGACAGATGGAAAAGTATTGCGGATGGCCTATACGCCATTGGGAGTGCGAAAGGATTTGAAGAAGAAGAAACATGCTTAGTTGCAATGATTAGATTGATACACAGAGGCTGTCATAGGATGGATTCCCCTGTTCTACTAGCGTAGAAAATAGGGAGATGGAGTGGAGGTGGGCCGTCCACACCAGGCGGCGACTTCCCCCCCCCTCTATTCTTAAAGGGGTGACATTATCGTACACCTGCCGACGTTTTCTGATGGTGGGGGTGGCGGAAAAAAACATTGATGTCCCCGAGGGGCAATAACCCTTGCTACGCCACTGGCCTGTCCTAGTCTTTCCACTGTAATCGCGGAGAACTATCGGCTATGTAAAGCTAAGTGTGACCGTGTTTGTTAGATGGTTTGTTTGTTTGTAAATGGGTCGATCAATCACGTGAAGAACAAACAATGCGTCGGAACCAACACTTGACATGGTCACTTATGGTTTACTTATCCCAAAAGCCGTAGTTTAAAAAATCGTAACATTAAGAGTGTAAAGATCAATTTGTCTTAAAAATCCTTCATACAATTTAATATCGTGAAATAGGGGTTGGGCTGAAATTTCATAAAAGATGCATACAAGTAACGAACTTTTTAGGAAACCCAATTACTGGTCAGCCTCTCAAGGCTCGCACGCAAGCCAACATTTTTTTGTTTGTTTGTTTCATATTTGAGGGCCCACGATCAAATAATTGATCATTTTGACTCCTGGTTTGAATTCAGAGTTTAGCCTTCTCTTAGGTGAGTTGCCTACCAAGGCTTGCGGGTCCCATCCACCTTGGGATTTTGGCTGTGGCAGGGATTGAGCTCCAGACCACCACTATTTGGCTTCAGTCAGTTTAGACCACTCGGCCACCCAGCACCCCTTTTTTTTCCACGCCCCTGAACTACATTTGTTTTCCAATGACCCACCCGCTTTTATACGGCATATTTATTGAACCAAATATTTGAGAAAGGCAGAAAAAAAAATGCACATAACGCACTTGCGATATATTTTTTTTAAAAAGAATCTCATTTATCGCACCCCCCCCCCCTAAAAAAGGAAAAACTGATTTTTGAGGGTTTAGGGGTGGGGCTGAAAAGTTGAAAGAATGTGTTGTCATTTGCAAAAAGTCCATGTGCCAAGTTTCAACTCGATAGGTTGACGGGAAGTCGGTCAATCATCCGTCCAAAGATTTTGCCACCCACTTAGCCACAAACGAAAGCGAAGTTACCGGTAAGATAAAGGATTTAAAAAGAAAAAGAAGAAAAAAAAAAGAAACTAGGGGAAGTTAATTCTTGTTTTTAAAAGAGCGCATGACACAATGGCGAAAGTAGGTTACTGAAATCACAGATTTTGCTCTGTCAAAATAGTTTGGTGGATTAAAATGGACAAGCAGATTGGATCATACAACATTGGGTGCGACAGGAAAAAATCGTTATTTGTTGAAATAAAATTAAAAAACATGCTTTCATATATTTTTCTTCGAATTTTTAAAAACCAAAAAAAAAACAAAAAAAAAACAAGATTCAGTTTTCAAAATGATGAGACATGTAGTAACATCCTACTGGAGTCAGCCTTACTTTCCGGGGGTCAGTCTTACTTGAGTTTATGTTGCTGTAATGAGAACCTCGGGTCCTTGATCTCTGAAACAAAATCACCGGAGATTTTAAAAATTGACAGAATTTGGTGACGTTTTCACTGCTGTTTCTTCTGATCGGAGCAGACGTATTCAACTGATTGGCTGACTCAGACGTGACTTTGGTGACACGATTTCACGCCCCTCCCCCCCCCAACCGCCACCCCCCCACCCCCGGTAGCCGGTCGACGAACCGTGACGTACACAGTGAAGGACGGTAAACCCGAGTTTTGAACTCACGTCAAACCCCTCTGCCATTGGACACGCATCTGACAGTGTTGTGACAACTGGCGTGAGCTCTGACGTTATCACGTGATCTGCGGAGTCGGAATGCTGCACAACCTTTGGTCGGTGTCTCGAACAGTACCACCAGTCAAACTTAAGAACTAAAAAAAAAAAAAAATAATAAATAAAAAAATGTAAAAAAAAATTAAAAAAAAAAATTTTTTTAAAAATCTAATTTGAAAAATTAAGAAATTTAGTTAATATAAATTTTATTTTTATTTTTTGAAGTTGTAATTTAAAAAAAAAAAATACTGGCGTGAGCTCTGACGTTATCACGTGATCTGCGGAGTCGGAATGCTGCACAACCTTTGGTCGGTGTCTCGAACAGTACCACCAGTCAAACTTAAAAACTAAAAAAAAAAAAAAATAATAAATAAAAAAATGTAAAAAAAAATTAAAATAAATAATTTTTTTTAAGTTCTAATTTGAAAAGTTAAGAAATTTAGTTAATATAAATTTTATTTTTATTTTTTGAAGTTGTAATTTAAAAAAAAAAAAAGAAAAAAAGCAATTAACTAACATGAAGTTTGTTCTTGTTTTCCATGTCAAACTCTATATTTTCTATGCATGGAATATTTTCAGAAAAAATATCATCCATTGTTTATAATAACGCGCTGAGACAGAAAAAAACAGAGGCTTTGATAAATTCACACAAAAAAAAGAACTGTCGGTGTAATGAAGGATGACGTAGTCTGCAGTTGTCATTAAAGGATGTCCGTGTGTATCACCCAGGCCAGTGGTCGGCAAACTCATATAGTCAAAAGAACCTAAACTCAGCAGCAGGACGATACAAAAATTTTTGAGACCAAAATTTCTTTTCAAGTACCTCTTATCAAGTACCCTGTTTTTTTTTTCCGGAGTCAAAACCTATTTATGGCCGACTGAGCGAGCCGCACTCAGGTCGCTAAAGAGCCGCATGCTCACGAGCCGCGATTTGCCGACCACTGACCTAGGCAGATGATGTATTTGAGACTTCATTCCAAATAGAGATTAGTTTTTCAGTCCAAGTTGTTTTTTTTGTTTTTAACTACAAGGGACATATTTGATTAATAATCCTTGTAAGGTTTCAGTCCAATAAATTTTTTTTTTGGGAAACATTTCGTTAATATTATCAGTGTGCTGATTCAAAGCTGCAGCACTGGTCGTTTACGAAACCAATTTCAGAAAGTTTATCGCCCACAAAACGATTGAAGGTGTTAATTGAACGTCATGACCGCCGAGACGTTTTTCCGTTCCAGGTCTGGTAGGACAATGGCGAACCTGGCGTAAACCGTCGTGGAGGACTTGACGCTCGCCGTGACCGCTCCAAAGGCGGCCGCTATCGGCGTCGCCGTTCTGTTGTAGAGACTCGCGACGAAGATCCTGACGTCCGGCGACGACACGCTGATCGTCAGCCGGTTGACGTTGACGGGGACGTTGACCTTGAACAGAGGGTTTCGGACGTCTGAGATCGATAAGCCCGTCTGATTCACGCCATTCTGGAGTTCGACTGTTACGAGTCTGGAGGGAATAGCATGTGGGTAATTAAATGGGAAGAAAATATGAGTTTTATATTCTAAAAAAATATTAGATAGATATCACCAAATCGCATTCATTTTTAAATTTATGTAGTCTAATAAAAATGTGCTGATAGCGTTTGTCATTTCTAAGACCGGAAAACGTCACATCGCATTACGTAGTGTTACTATTTTTAGACAATGTTTTCGTAAAATATAGCTTCCAACAGTGTGTTTCCGCATATATGCTGCAGTAACTAATTTGTTTGTAAAAATCTTTCGTCAAATAAAGTTGTCAACACGTTTTCGTCCAGGTTAAGACCCACTGCGCTGGATCACATTAACGTAGAAGTACCGAACAGCTGTTGAGAG